GGAAGTATTAGGTGAACTCGCCGATAGTATTGGTAACAAAGATTTCCCTCTCTTAAACCAAAGCATTTCTCCTTTATCATCCAGTGTGCTAAAATTTATTGAAAAGGGTACCTCGTCCTCCTCAGCGACTGTTCCTGATGACACAGAAAAGAAAAAACAGACTGCTGCCGTTAGGCCCAGTGGCAGTGTTTCTAATAACTATGGTATCAGTGGCAAGGACTTTGCAGATGTGAGTGCCAGTAAGGACAGTTCTGCAGCAGCTCATGCAAGTGAAACAGCCCGGGGAGAGGAAGACAGTTCAACAACTCCTCACCAGCATGGCTTTACCCCTAGTACACCCGGAACGCCAGGGCCTGGAAGAGACGGCTCACCAGGCAGTGGCATCGAGTGTCCAAAATGCGATACAGTTTTGGGGTCTTCGAGGTCTCTTGGTGGTCATATGACTATGATGCACTCAAGGAACTCATGCAAAACCCTCAAATGTCCCAAATGTAACTGGCACTACAAATATCAGCAGACCCTGGAGGCCCATATGAAGGAGAAACACCCTGAGCCCGGAGGCTCTTGTGCTTATTGTAAGACTGGGCAGCCTCATCCTAGGCTTGCCCGGGGAGAGAGTTACACGTGTGGCTATAAACCCTTCCGTTGTGAGGTTTGTAACTATTCTACCACTACCAAAGGCAACCTCAGTATTCATATGCAGTCAGACAAGCACCTGAACAATGTTCAGAATCTCCAAAATGGCAATGGAGAGCAAGTGTTTGGCCACTCTGCCCCAGCCCCCAACACGAGCCTCAGTGGCTGCGGAACACCCTCTCCATCCAAACCCAAACAGAAACCCACCTGGCGGTGTGAGGTTTGTGATTATGAAACCAATGTGGCAAGGAACCTCCGGATTCACATGACCAGCGAAAAGCACATGCATAATATGATGCTTTTGCAGCAGAACATGAAGCAGATCCAGCATAACCTGCATTTGGGTCTTGCACCAGCGGAGGCAGAGCTTTATCAGTATTACCTGGCCCAGAACATAGGCCTGACTGGAATGAAGCTGGAAAACCCTGCCGACCCCCAGCTCATGATCAGTCCATTCCAACTGGATCCGGCGACGGCTGCGGCTCTGGCACCTGGACTTGGTCAGTATTCACTGTTCTTCTGTACTGTTATTAGCTTCTAATCACATTGTGACTTGGTGTAGTGCACCCCGAGAAAGTGGTGAATGACAGCAAACTGGGGACAATTCACTAGGCAGGACTTTTTCTCTTTGAGCCGCATAAGCAAACCTTGTATGCCTCTACTTCAAAGCTAAATTGACTCTAGAGAGGAAAGAGTTAAGGGAGCAATGGCAACATGAGAGAAGTCAGCAAACTTTGTGCTCATTTGATGGCTTGATTAACAAATGCTAATTTTCATTAGTCGCTTGCCATCCTTAGCCATACTTCATGAGGTTTGTTGTTTCCATTTTGATTTGATTATTCCTTAAAATATCAAATTTGAGCTTCAAGAGGAATCTACAATTATATTTTTGAAAACTCATTTTAGTGGTTGTGATTGAAGGCACTTAAACTAACGGTAATACCATTACTTTATCCCAGGTACTTGGTAGTAGATTACAGCCACGTGTACAGTATTAGCCAAATCTCATCAAGCTTTAAGACAAATTGGGAAATAACAATTAGTGTGTACGTAAGTTTATCTAGGCTTTTAAATTGCAAACACATGACTGTTCTGTTATGGCATTGATCAACTTTCTTGTCCTCGAAAATACAAATTTCAGAATGACATCATGCCCAGTAGGAGTAATTAAAGCTATCTGATGAGGGAATTTAGAAGTTGAAAGGGATGATTGTAATTGATCCTGATTCAATCCTATTACAGCTTTTTATAGTTTAAGCTCTAGAGAAAGCACATTCCTTGTCAAGACTTTATTTTACAGGTTCCTTTGTGTGTGCTGTGTTTTCTATTCTCTATTTTTCCTTTTAATTTTTTTCCTGTAGTAAATAATGAGCTGCCGCCTGAAATCCGGCTTGCCAGTGGTCAGCTAATGGGTGATGACCTGTCCCTCCTTACTGCAGGAGAGCTGTCACCTTATATCAGTGACCCAGCACTGAAGCTATTCCAGTGTGCTGTTTGCAACAAATTCACCTCTGACAGCCTGGAGGCCCTAAGTGTGCATGTGAGCAGCGAGCGCTCTCTCCCTGAAGAGGAATGGAGGGCTGTAATTGGAGATATCTACCAGTGCAAGCTCTGTAACTACAACACTCAGCTCAAAGCCAACTTCCAGCTCCACTGCAAGACTGATAAACATATGCAGAAATATCAACTGGTGGCCCACATTAAAGAAGGGGGGAAAAGCAATGAGTGGAGGTTGAAGTGCATTGCCATTGGCAACCCTGTTCACCTAAAATGTAACGCTTGTGACTACTATACCAACAGTGTGGATAAATTACGCTTACATACTACCAATCACAGGCACGAGGCAGCCCTGAAACTCTACAAGGTAAGCAGTGACATCCATTTCCGTTGGCACAAGTAGACAAGGGAATTAACTGTTTCAGAGCTTGAAGCACAAATGTGCAAGTTAAAGAAAAATTAGAGAGAAAGAGAAAAAAAAGGGCAAGGTACAAAGTTTCTGATTAGCATTGCTGAAAGTATATTGAAATATATGGAGTGGAGAATTTATTTTAAAGATTTGCTGTATGTCCTAATTACAGTGACATTGACTGCCTGACTGGCTTCCCTGCGCTAAAGGGGCTATTCTGGGGTATTGTCGTAGGTAACGTGATACTTTAAAAATCTCTCTTATTATTTTTTAAAAACAAAAGCATAGCACCACCCTGTCTAATTGTTGATGGTTACTGGGTGCAGAGGACAAAAACGGTATCCTACATCATGAATGCATCAGCTTTAGTTTGGTGAAAACAAGGATGATACAAACATGTTTTTTGTGTGCATGTGCTCAGTGACATTGAATAAACACACTCTCCCTTAGCATCAGTTGAAAGTCTTCAAAAGTAAACTCTGCTGTGGTTTTGCACGACTATTTCCCTAACTAGTAATGCCTTCTCTCAGAGGGGTGTGGTGTACATAAATATGCTTATAAAATGGCAAATATGCTTTTACTTTTTACTAGGAGAAACTATGAAGGTGCAATGCATGTGTGCAAGTGATGAACATCGTGTATTGCACAAGTTATCTTGACATTTTTTCAACTCCAATTACCAATTAATTTATTTTCTGCAGTTTGTTCAATGGATTGTTTTGTCTTGTTTCATGTACAAATGTAACACATTTATTTCTATGATGAATAACTTGGGAACTTATTAAAAACTTCTTTTTGTCTAGAGGATATTAAAATTCAGAAAATATTGCAAACCATTAGTCATTGTAACAAGCTCTAAATATGATTACAAAATCCATTTTGCAAGTGTTATCTATTGATTTATACCAGAAATCATTGATAACTATACTATCAGAAGTCAACCGATTATAATACCTATAGCTTTTCTAATTCTATTTAAAATTAGAAACTCACAACAAAAAGAGTAGATGATGGTTATCTGGATTAGGTATAAGAATTATTTATTTGGGTTGATCTAATACTGTATGTTTAGGTTATTTCTTGAAGTTCATATTTTAGATGGATGTACTCTGCATAAATACCTAAAGATTCAGTGTGAGAATTTGTAGCATAGTTCCTGATATTGGCACTTTGTAGATCAATAATGAAAGCATTATATTTGGGCTACACAGTTTGTGGGGAGTGCAGCCCCTAATGTAAGATGGAACACTTCTAAGTCAACACTATTGATAATATAATATGAAGGATTAATTGTATTATAATTCATAGGTTTTACAGGAACAGTTGACAATTGTTCAATTGTCTGCTATTTTTTGCTGTTGATACCCCACCTATTAAAACTTTTAGAATAACTAGGAGAAGAAACACAAACATTAAGTTTGTATAAATAATAGATTTAGGCCCTTGGAGCTATATAGAATATTCATGAACTGTGATTATATTCACACAGTTCCTCTAACACTTTAAATTAACGTGTTGTGAATAGACAATATAAATGTACAACTTTTCTATTTTATTACTTACACAGAAAAGTAAAGAAAAGAAGAGTGTTGTTTTTTATTTCCTCCGGAAAGTTTATTTAATTAAATTGCTTGATAGTTATTTAAAAGCATATAGAGGTGTGTTATGTGTGTATATGTTCTCTGCATTAGGTTTACCCATTCATTCCCTGAGTGTGGAATGACCGCTTTACTCTCAGCAGCGCAGTATGCTAGTTGCCAGAGTTACCTTGGAAGTTTCTTTGCGGGGACATTTGGATATTGCCTTTGAATTTAGAACAAATAGATGAGATAAAAGCTTGATTCTAAAGAGGGCTTTAAAGCTAGAGTGCTTTGATTCCACAACCAAATGATGTGATCTTACCTTAAAGATCTTATGAATCATATAAAAATTACTGGTTTTTTTAGTTGCATAAATTATCTCTTCAATACCCAAGGGTCCTTGCTTAGTGTAGCATATGGTTAGCAAACAAACAAAAACCTACTTTGCACACACTTAGCTTGAATTAAAAGAAGATTGAAGAATTGTGCTATTGTTTGAAGATTGTGCTATTGAAAACTGGTATTAGATAATCCAACTATATTCTTTTTCATTTCTCTTCAAATGGCATTATTACCAGTAACAACTAGAAAAATACTCCAGAGTAACAGTCTATTGAAGATGCTATTTCCAAGCTGATTTCAGAAACTTTGAATCATAGAGGATTTTCAAGCACAGTAATGAGTATAGTAGCCAACTTGATCGGCTTGCAGTGGCAAAACAAAATTAATTCATAAGTAATATTAATTACATTTAAATGAAACTCTAATAAATTAGGCTAGGCCTGCGAAAAAAGCATGCTTTGTCATATGACTAAAATGTTAAAATTAGACTTAAAACATTTTCTGAGTTAGTGACTAGATAACAATTTCCTATATAACATTTATTTTTATTAAGAGTTTAATTTATATCATTTTGCATTGTGAATTACTTAGATTTTAGAAGGAAGTGACAAGTAGCACTTGTAAGACAAATGCAGATCTTCAAGAAAACAGCTTTTCTCATTATTGATAACATTGATTCGTAACACCCTAAATGTGGTGATGGTCATTTTAATTTGAATAAACCACTCTATCCTTTGTGTTGTCAAACTGAAGCAGTATTACCTAAAAGAAGTGTGTGTCTTTATTCTAGTTTAAGGAGGTTAAAAGTTAAAGGTTAGGGGTTAGCTTAAAAGCATCATCTGCCTAGCTGCTTAACTTTAAACTGATCAATTTAATGAAAATCTGTTTTACAGATGTTGTTTTAATGTATTTGGCAGGATTTAGGCAGCTTTAACATTAGACATATGCTAGTAAAAATTATTTCTTTATTTGACCAGAACAACACCTTTCCTTTTATGTTAAGGTAGATGGTTTGTGAGTTACAATATTTTGGCAAAGAACCCAGAGGTAGAATGTGTTGATGATCTTTCCATATGGACTCAAAAAAAGAATACCTTTATGCCTATTGCTAAGAATGACTTCAAAAACAAACAAAACTGTATTCATTTTTGGCAGTGCTATTTTCCTTAGAACTTTTTGAAGACCAATTTTGTTATTGTTAAGAAAATCTTACTCATTTTTTTCAAGTGAAATTTTCTGAAATGCTAAACATTATTGAATTTTCAGCTCCTTCAGGAATTTTAACGTTGAAGTAAAACTGGCCTAGGAAAAATAAAACAAAAATAAAATTTAAGATTAACTATAATCTTCACTTTTCATGCAATAATGTATACTTGAAGTGAGCTTAAATAAATATTAAATGCCTATATTGTTACATTAGTCTTGCAAGGTAAATCTATCTGTCTGTCTGTCTCTATACACATACACATAAGGGTAGTTTTAAGCTGACCAATTTATTAGATTTAATTCTATTTTTAGCTTCATGCTTTTGCATATTTTACATATTTTAGCCCAATGATTTTCATAATGGGTCCTTAATATTTCTATAATCAGTAATGAACTAAGGAATTAACTGATGAATGTATTAAAGAAACCCCTTTACTTCCAATCTTCATTTTTAAAAAATGCATTGCAATTTGGTCTTCCTTTTAAATGATCCAAACTTTTTCTGAAGAGTCCAGGGAAAGGCTCTGATGAAAACCACTTAGCATTACAAAAACTGAGGGAGAACAAGTAAGACTTTGGCAATATTTCAGCTTTACAGAAGAGTTTATTCTTGGCTTGCGATTGCTAGGACTCTTCTGGCCAGCTGACGGGTGTAGCCACCACCCTCCACAGAGCATACACATGCTCTGGCTGCACTGCACCTGCATCTCAGTTGCTGTCTTACTACTACATGTATTTTTAAGTAAGGTGTTCACAGCTTTGCTGGTTCAGTCAAAAGTAATTGTAGGAGCTTTTCTTCTGCTTGCATCTGCTAGTACTGAGGCAGAGGATTCTGCCTAAATCCTGTAATGCTGTTTTCATATTTGGATTTCAAAGTGGCTGAGAGCAGTGAGTAAATCGATTGTCTCCATGGTAAAGGAGAGGAAAACACATGGAATTTAGTTGTAGATAACTTTTAGTGCAGCATTCCCCCAAAGATGTTTTTGGGGTTTTCTCATTATCCATGTTACAGACAAAAGAACCTGAGTTAACTGAAATTGAGGGATGGGGGAAGGTTGCAAAAGAAGAGTGCAAAGAGGTAAACTGGGAGAAGTATGTGCAAAGAAAACAAAAAAGGAAATAATTAGCTTCACTTATCTTTTTTTCTGTTTTGACTAGTAGGAAATAATAATAACTTGATCAGTTTGGAGTTAACAGTGGAGTCACAAGTATTTCATTTCACTAGAGCTGAGTCCAACTTTGTAATTTAAAATCAAATATACCAGATATGTACCATTTCATTTATTGAACTGTCATTGTGCCCTTGTGATGGTAAAAGAGGTCAGGAGATTGAGTGGTACACATTTGCGTAAAAGTCATCGTATAAAAGGAAATTGGAATATGAGTGTAGCTAAGAAATCCAAACAGGTTTTTAAAATCTTATTCTAGTTATCAGTTTAGGTAAAGAAAGCTGTTTTCAGAGATAAACAAAAGTTATTTTTTTGCTGAACATTAACCTAAGAAAATTTTTACACTTTTTGTATTAGTTTCAGATTTATGTTCATTTCAAGGTTAAAATGCACTGTGAAATTTAATTCCAGTTACAGGATTTCTTTTTAAAAAAGTAATCACATCAAATTATCCTATTGTATTATCATAAAAAGAGAAGCAGAGGTTAACGAAAAACAGTTTCTACAGTAGAACAATTCACGCTTGCCTGATACATATAACTAATAAATACACAGATCAAATAAAGAGGACTTGCTCAGCTAATAGCAACTAATAAATCACTTGTGTTTTTAGATCACAATGTAATAGGCCACCCCTACCAACTTCGTTTACTTCTGTTTT